TCGGCDGAGCAAAAGGCCACCTCAGCACCGGGAAATGCTGCCTAATCCAGCACCAGCGTGTGCAGCCCTGCTCTAGGTCAGGCAGTACAACTGTCCAGACATCAAACATCACAGGTATCACCACCCACCTCGCTGCAGGACAAAACAACATCTGCACACAGCATAAACAGCCCCTCCTTCCTACTGAAATCGGGTGACAAAGCTCCTACGCATTAAATCCTTTGACCACCAGTTCTGATGAATTATGGCAAKGTTTGCATTTCTTGCACCATTTGTATTTTGATGGTTGTGCTGCAGCAGCACCTAAAGGCTCTTGCCAGCAGAACAGCTTGTAACGCTGTCTGTGCAACAAGCCCTGGAGAACCCTCAGGGCTGCTGCCTGTGACAGACAAAACACGAGAGAAAAGCAGCAGTTCCTCAGTTTTGCAGTTGGCCCATGGAAGCACAGCAAGATTGTCCAAGGCTGTCCAAGTAAGGGGTACAGCTTTGGCAGAGCTGGGGATTATATCCAAGCCCAGAGGAGTGCTGTGCTGTCTGACCATTGGTGCCTCACACAGTGACACTGCTGACTGTCACAGGGGCCTGCCCACACCAGGACACAATTCCTGCCCCTCTCCAGAGGGAGGGCAGGCAGCTCTGAAGGTGCTGTGGAGAAGCCCCTGAGCAGAAGGAGCCATCGAACTGCCAGACCTCTCTGCCTGCTGCATTTCCTCCACTGGARAAGTTACAGCTGAAACACTGATCCCTGACACCATGGGACAGSGCCGAGATATACAGGACTCTTCCAGGCCCAGCAGGGAGGAAAAAAATCCCCAGAACTACACATCATCTCTGCTTCCCACCCCTTCAACGCTCCAGGCAGGCTGTAACTCAAAATCAATGAGGTGAACTCCAGATCTCTGCATAAATGTACAATTCTTCCTTGGGTCAGAACATCACCCCTCAACACAGCAAAACCAGACAGGTATTTGAGTCCCAACAACACATCTAGGGGAAACCAGCTACCTGATAATTGAAATGAAAAATGGTATTTTCTTAAGCAAAGATAGAACTCTGTGTGAATCRTGCACACGGGAAGGGGGAAAGCCTGCAGTCCAGCACAACACAGGCACTTCTCTCCAGCCTGCTGTGTGGAATGTCCCTGAGGTGGCCCCGTGGCACCCTGGAGTCCCCACACTCCCAGTGATGCCCCCAAACAGGCACAGGGAAGGGGTCATTATCTCTACCAAGGGCAGATGTACTCACTGTCTGATGGAGAGCGGTATCTCTTCAGCTTCCTGCTGGGGACCAGCTCGTACGACCTCGTCTCCCCGATGTCGATGCCTTCAGCCATCTTGAGAACCTTCTCCATGACCTGCACGTTGTACCTGTGTGGGTTCAACAGCAAAACACCTGAGAGCGTGCCCACAGGGCAGCACATGTGCACACACAAGCTTTCATTATGTAAAACAAGAACTAAACATGTCTAAGATACAGCAGCTGGGCCAAGGGAGATGCTCCTCTGATGCTGCTGGAGCAGAGCACAGCACTGACCACTGACCCCACGCCACTGCTAGTCCAGTGTGGGCACATGGCCACACACCAGCTGACCTGGCTCTGCATGAACCCACTTCTGAATAACAAACCATGCAGCCTCCACACTGACAGYGTTCTAAGAACAAATTTAAATACATTATCTGACAAAATACAGTATTTGGCAGAGTTGCCAGGAGCAATAAACACAGGGGTGTGGAGAAGGAACAGCAGCTTCAGTGAACCAAGCACAGAAGCTCAGACTGGCACTGGAGCCACAGACTGCACGTCACCAGCACTGCAACTGCCGTGTCAGGTGACAAAGACACTGCTCAGCATTCATCGACCACTCTTTAGAAAGCCAAACTAAATCCTRGCTGGGTGCTGTAACCAGAATGTTTTAGGTTCCTGAACTATGACAGAGGTGAGGTAGCTGTGACAAGTGCTGAGAAAATGCCAGGAGGGATCAAAAGGAGGTGACATAATGGGGATCCTCTCACAGCCAAAAGGGAGAGGAATGGGAATCTCTGTTTCTCTCTCTGGCTTTCAGGGAYAAGATGACATTACCTGGTGGACAGTGATGGACAATGTCACCTTCCAGCAGGGTGCAAGAACAGTGTCAGATTTGACACCTGTTGCTTTTCTTCACAAAGGACAGAGACTTTTGGGGCTCATATTTCTGCTGGTGTGGGGGAGAAAGACCAACCAGTCCCAACATGTGTTTGCTTAGTCTGGGCAGAGGAACCCAGTGCCTCCAGTACCTAAGTGAAGTCTCCTTGCTGTGACTTTCATAGGTTATCTCTTATCCTGATCCTTGTGGCTCTGGAGCCACACTTTCCTGCACTACTGCCCCCACTGTGAGCCTTTCACATATTTTGGAAAAGAGCACCTTCTCCCATCCATGCCTAAACTAAATGGAAGCTTTTACTTATCCCCTTCCTCACAGACCATGTTTTCTAAGCCCTCTGGACACTCTCCAGAGCATCTCCCAGCAGAACACTCAGATTTCACAGCACAGACTCTGATGTGTTCTTCACAGAACCACAGAACTGTCTGATTTGGATGGGACCCAGAGGATCATCATGTCCAAGTCTAGAGTGAATGGCCCGTGTGGGGACTGAACCCACAACACTGTCATTATCAGCACTCTTCTCTAAGYAACTGAGCTACTCTGACAAACAGGTTCTCCTCAGCCGACAAGTAATCAGCMTTAGGAAAACAAAACAAAAACAYAAACAAARCCCAAACCAAAAAACAACCAACAAACTTAAGACAAAACAACAAAAATCACCCAAACTTTGAAGCCATTCACTTGATAAATCAACAACAGCTCTTCCCAAGCAAAAGCTCTTCCCAACTGCAAAAGCAGTTCCAGGGAACACTGTGGGTCCCTCCATACCCCAGACAACTATAAAAAAAAAGCTGAAATTGTTTTTAACACCACAGTGTTCCCAGCTGGGCACACCAGCTCTGGTTAAACATTCTAACTGGCAAAGGCTCCAGACTGCATCCTGCCCAAATCTCACCTCCCTGAGAGCTGTAGATGAAGGAAAGGATGTGCACTGACAAGCTTAAACTGTATCAGTTTTTGGGATTTAAGATCTTCCAACAGTTGTTCACTTCTGTTACTAGCACCCTGTAGCTGTTTATTGCACCATTCCCAAAATCCCTGGCACACAGAAGGTCCCCATTAAGAAAACACAACAACAAGAAGATACTCTCAGTTTTAACACATTGCTCGAGTTTTAGGATTTGAAGCTATTTTAAAGCTACGTTCAATTTTGATGCTTGCAGAACAGAACAGTTACGTTCAATTTTGATGCTTGCAGAACAGAACAGTTTAGTACTTGACCCACAAAAAAAAAAAAAAAAAGCAAACAGGCAGATC